AAATACAGTGTAATACCGTGAAATATGACATTTAAGATAACTGATTTCTACAGATTGTTTTTAAGCCCGTGATGGCAAAGCTGAATTTTACTCCAGTTTTCAGTGTCATTTCCTTCAAAAATCATATATGCTGATGTGGTGCTCAATCTTTTCTTATCATCACAATTGAAAACAGTTTATATTAATATATTTTTGTATTTGTTTTTATTAGGATTGTTTGATGAACAGAAAGTAGCCTATACAAAATATATATTTTTTTTGCCACTATATGTAAAAATATTTACAGTCAACTTTTGTTGATTAAAAGTATTCATTTCTTAAAAAGTCTTACTGATCCCAAACTGTAGTGTATATTGTATTCTTTATTTATTATATTTAACCTTTTTAAGCTATCTGAAATTCATACATTACCATAAACATAATAAACATCTTTAAATGTTTATTTTCTCAAAGTATTTGTGCACCGTCTGTAATATAGCTCAAATAGTTTTAGAAATAAAAATAAAAAACATGGATAATACCCCTGATGGCTTAATAACTGTAAATTTCCATTGTCTGGTATCAGAAAACATTAACAAGACAGAGGGCACTGGGGGGCTTAATTGCTTACACCGTTTTTGTGGAACAGGTGTTCACAGAAATGCAATTTATTTGAGCATTTAATATCTTTAAATATTGTTTTCACATGTCTGTTCTATAATTGCATTTGTTCCATTAATGAGAGAGAGAAAAAAAGTGTTACAGGTATTTGTTTCATTACAAAAGTGGCAGGTCTTTCTTGCATTAGATAATTGAAGCCATTTTACCTTTTATGCTTTTTCACTCTGAAGTATCTCATTTGCAATTTACAGTGTACGTAATTGGATAAATGCATGCTGTGTAATTACAAACTGGCACCATTTTTTACTCTGTTGTAAATATTCATGTTTCATCATGGTATTTTTGAACATTGTTCATATTTGTAAATGATCTGTGGATGAGTTTGTAATGTTTGTAATATAATATTCAAGATATCAGTTTGACTTGAATTTTGTAAGATTTTTATAAAAAAATAAAATAAAACAGAGAGGGCATAAAAATAAAAACAAAATGCACTTTCATTAGTTTTTTCAATTAAAATCACATAAAGGATCAAGCTGAGACATCTAAGTAAATAGTTATTTTAAAACTAAGAATAAGGAAACTTGAATATTATATTTTAAAAGTAAAGACATGCCTGTCATACAACAATAAGAGTCTGGTGGACGCCACGTCTGCAGCTGTCTAGATTTGATCAAATTTATCAATTAATAACTGAAAAATGGTATTTCCAAAACAACACATAATCAAATCAAACTTCTCTTAATCAACAGCCAATTTTGTCAGCGTTAGCGGAGTGTGTTTTTGTCACTGGTCTGCTGAGATGAGCTTTCTGTCCCTACAGACTCATTAGAATATTGCACCTGCAGTTCAAGACATTTCATATGCAGTGAAGAAGACCATACTTGTTTGGCATCATCAAACACTTCCTCTGCCAGACAGGAAATGGGATTAGAAGTGAAGGTGGGATTCAGTCAAAAAGGAAATATTCATTAACTTAAATCACCCCTTCCACAAATCCAACCCCCAATACCATACACACTCCTTGTCCTCGACACGTTCAGTAGCTGAACGCACACTTGTTAACGAGAGATGGGAAAGACGGATATAATTGGATGTCACTGTTTCCACACAGTTCACAAGTTATTTGTAATGTGCAAGTGGATTAAACAGCAAAAAGAAAATGAAACAAAAGTTAAGCAAAGCCATTCAGTGCATTTTGAGGCCCTAAGACTAGCTCGTGTGCTGGAATGCACTATGTCTTGTTCATATTAAGGATCTTATTGAGTCACACCGCACGCAACCTTATGAAATGGAGCCTTGTGCAAGCAAACAGGAAAGTAATAGTATGATCTTACGATGGTATGTAGACTTTCAATTCAGCAATACATGATACCTCAAGTGGAATCATGCAATCACTCAAAGTAAAAAAAGGTTTAAAATATCAATTAAATAATCCTTAAACCATCATCTTTAGGTTTACGGTTGAAGCTCTAGTGTTGTTTGTATTTTGAAGGAAAATTACGTACCGTTGCAAACTGAAGGATTAAACACCGCGTCGAAAAATCATAATAGTCAATCTAGTTTTGAAGAACTTTAACTCACCGAAACGGATTTAAAAATTGTGAGAACTTATACATTAATTGATAAGACCAGACTGCAGTCTTCAGCAATACTATAGCACAACATTTCATTTGTTGGAGTGCAAATGTGCGTTCTGATCGACAAGGCGCATAATTATATCCAAGTTATTATGAATGTAACTGATATAAATTGATATACTTAAAGAGTAAACTGAGTAACAGCCTGTTTATTAGTCTTATCTGTCCATTGTTTTACTTACTACACTTGAACATTTCATACAACACTTGAATAAGTAAAAAGTTAATGTTTAGCAACTTACATTTAGATTGCCATTTACTTTGTCTGCTGTTGTTCCGACAAGAAAAATAGTCTAAAGGAACTCAAGCTGAATTATCTATCACGCACGGCCACAATATAATGGGTTTACTTCTTGAATGAATCAGTGTTCAGTGAAGGAATGGAATGAGTGAATGATTCAATAACTCAATCAAAAGTGACCTACCTGTCGCCACCTACTGGCGGCGCAACCTTGTAACCTACTGGAAGAGCCCCTGAAAATCTCAAGCACTACTATAGGCGGTTTGATGTTGCAAACTGGTAACATTATTTTAATTTATTATCGTAATCATAAACACACTGTAACGAACTGTTGTAGTGTTTATTGAATTGTCGAATGAATCTGAAATCTTGCACATTCACAAAATAAAAAAAGCCTACTTCTACATTGCAAAGTAATTATTCTGTGGAACACAAAGAAGGTGGACAATGTTCATATGCAATGTGTTACATCAAGCACCCATGTGTTTCAGATGACCATGTCCTCTTAGCACATTGTGCTATTTTTATTTGTAGGCCTACTTCATTTTCTTTTTACAACCTTAAATTGATCTTGATCAGCATAAATGATTTCTAATAACTAGCACAATAATGACTCATCAGACACATTTCAGGATTTAAACAAAATAGCTTGTTTGTAAAAGCATATATGTTTCAGTGTAAAACACAAATTTGCTTCCATTCTAAGTGGAACTGCGTGGCAGCCATGGCAACTAGTACCTGTTAATTAGAAGCTTATGGAGGAGACAATGATGCAACCTTGGAGAGACAAGATGTGCTCTTGTGGTTTAGTGTGGATTCTCTGAATACTTGGCCAGATTTGCTAATGACTCGAAATACCACAAAAGGAACATGATCACAAAGGTCATCTTAAAGAGAATGCAAGCTCATCTCTGCTTTGGGTTCAATAAATGTGCTGTAGCATGAGGACGGATCAGGATATATTGGCTCATCTTACCTATAGGATCAAGTCTACAATTGTAAAAAAAAAAAAAATTTCTAAGAGTATGTTGCCATCTCCTGGCCAAAAACTGCATAGACATACCGGTTTTTGTTGCGTTCACTTGTTAGCATTTTTATTCAAAACAACCCAACAGCTGGGTCAAAACAACCCAACCCTGGGTCAAAACAACCCAACAGCTGGGTTTGTCCCTTTTTTAACCCAGCATTTTTTAGAGTGTACTATTCATTAAATTGCCTGTTTACATGTACAAATATATATATATTGTCATTAGGAAACAAATATATAAAAAATTTAATAAAATACATGTTAACATTTAAATACAGTACATTGGTGAAAATACTTTGGTTTGTTTTATAAATATTTTCGGCTGATAAAACCCAGTGCTAAGAAGCTTAAGCTCAACTAATATTTTTGAACAAACTTCTGATGTAATATTAAAAATGTGCTGCTTAATACTTTTGTAAAAGGCATGATACACTACCATTCAAAGGTTTGGGGTAAGTAAGATTTAAAAATCAAAAGAAAAAGAAAAGAAATAAAGAAAGAAATTAATACTTTCACTACAAGGACACATTAAACTGATTAAAAAAAAAATTGACAGTAAAGATATTTATGATGTTACAAAAGATTTGTTTCAAATCAATTATATTGTTTTGAACTTTCTAGCCAAAGAATCCTGAATAAATGAATGAATTAATTAATGAATGAAACTGACAAATTGGTAAGTTAAATGGCACAAGAGATTGGAAACCATGCCAAGGATAAATAAAGGCATTGTAAAAGTGATTTATTTAGAAAAATATATCCATAAATACCAATTTAACAGCCTCCAACTGACACAAACACACAGTACATGTAAAACAATTGTAATTGTACTGCACATATATGAGCAGCATAGATTTAAATGGCATACATGTAGTTGCAAAACTCATAATAATACTCCAGACCCAGCAGATTAGTTTAAGGAGCTGTAAAGGAGATTTGTGAATTCTATGAACCTGAGGTGAATGGTCATACTGCTTTCAGTTACAGCACTGATCTGTACTTGCAAGCAAACATGATCCACACAGCACAAGCTGACTCTGGATAGGCAAAGACACGAACCCTCACCGCCAGTCGCACATGATCCCCTCGGCAGCAAACAATCTCGTCACAGAACGGTGACCTGAGTGATACATAAGAAAACAAGTTTAGATGTTAGTGGTTTGTCTTTAAAGGTACAATGTGACTTTTGAGCACTAACAGCACTGAACAAAATTGCGATTTATTTTGTTGTTGCTACTTCTTTAAATGGCTTCTGTTTTAAGTGACATATCAATAAAAAAGGCATTATAGGTAGCTCTGTTTGTTTGTGCAGGTACCTGAGGCAGGTAGCGAATGCCCTGCGTGCATTACGGTGCAAGAAATGAATAGGAAAGCCTTTAAAAGTGTGTCCGTCAGGTACCGCTCTTCTCACGGCATCCTGAAACTCCTCGTTTCCACACGACACACCTGTACAGCGCTCTAGTTCATACGCCGACAGCGCTGCCGACAGCAGGTATGACAGGTGATCATCCCAGACCGTTGCCAGACCAAGATCCTACAGACAAAAGCATGTTAAAAAGTATCCAAGTACAAGTTTATCAGTCAACTATTTTCTGGCTGTTTTTTGAAAGGTCAAGAAAATGGTCTTGTATATCTGTGGTAAACATGTTCAAAAATTAGACCAACATTCATGTTGCTTCAAACCCGAAGTCACTTTTTTCTTTGAAATAATACAAAATATTCAATATTGAACTGGGTATTTTAAGTTTCAAAATTACAAAAAGTAGTCCATGCTATTCCAAGTTTTCTAAAGTAATACCTTACTTTTTTTCCTAGGAGGAATAGACTACTAGAAAATAATTTAGGTTGCTGTTAACTGGATTATGCTGATGTTCAAAACTTTGGGTCAGTAAATTTTTTGGGGAAAAAACTAATTCTGCAAGGATGCATTAAATTGATCAAAAGTGATTGAAAAAAATAATTGAAAAAAAAAAGCAGAATTTTCTATTCATCAATGATTCTGAAAAAAAAGCATCACAGTTTTCACAAAAATATTAAGCAGCGCTGCTTTCAACTGTTTTCAACACTGATAATAAAAAAAATTGTTTCTTAAGCATCAAATTAACATTTTAGAATGATTTCTGAAGGATGTGACACTGAAGACTAGAGTAATGGCTGTTAAAAATTACAGCTTTGTCATCACAGGAATAAATTACATTTAAATAGATCATATAGTACAGTTAAAAACGTTCAACAGAAGAGAGCAAGTCATACAGGAATATTATAAAGGATAAATAAATAAATATTCATATAATTTGTATTTTGGATAAACTGCGTGTTACGAAAGGAAAATGTTCACCTTCAATAATATGACATTTGCTTACCCACTCCCAGCAGTTCTGCTGAGACACTGCTTTTCCCGTTGAGAGCACCGAGAACTCTCCGCCAGTCAAGAAAATAAGAAGAAATGAGTGTTGTGTCCCCAGACGTGTCGGTTTTAATCAGCACCATGTGCACTGGATCACAGATGGACAGCATTGTGGTAGCATCAGCCATCTTGCTAGCATCTCCTGTGCCATAACAAAAACACATGACAGGTTCTTGAAATGAAATTGAGTACATTAGACTGCTAGAAATAGTAGGGTTGCTTAAGACACCTGGGCCATCTCTGTGAACTTCCAGAAGAAAGCCCTCCTGCAGGTCTGGTTCACAGGCACATGGGACTGGTTTGGAGCGGAAGCGCTGGTTGCGGAAGTGGAGATGAAGGGTGAACGTAGAGCACACCTGACCAGGTAAAGGTTCCGGCTCCTGCAAGTGTTCCAGGAAGGCCTTACCGCCAAGAACTTGTAGGTAGAGGTATCTCCTTAGTGGACTGATGTTAGCTGGTGAAATGATTTTAAAGGGTTAGTTCACTCAAAAATGAACATTTCATCATTTACTTGAGACGCAAAGGATGTTTGGCTGACGCTACTCTTTTTCCTAACATGAAAGTCATTTATTCACCCTCACGTTGTTCCAAACCCATAACAATGGAGTTCATCTTCGAAACACAAATGAAGAGATTTTTACTGAAACCTGATTTTCAATTTAATCTACCACTCCATTTAAAGCTCATTCCACCAAAACTTTGACACTTCATATAATAAAGGCAATCTGTAAGAACCAAGCGGTTTAATCCAAGTCTTCTGAAGAAATACAATCACTTTAAAGGGATAGTTCACCCAAAAATGAAAATTCGGTCATTAATTACTATCTCTCATGTCATTTCAAACCCGTAAGACCTTCGTTCATCTTCGGAACACAAATTAAGATATTTTTGATGGAATCTGAGAGCTGTCTGACCATTCATAGACAGTAACGCAACTTAAATGTTCCCAAGTCCAGAGACGTAGCAAGGAGATCGGTGAAATAATCCATGTGACATCAGTGGTTCAACTGTAATTATACGAAGCTACGAGAAAACTTTTTGTGCACAAAAAGTATTCTCATAGCAGAGATAATTGCGGATGAACCACTTATGTCACATGGATTATTTTACCGATCTCCTTGCTACGTCTCTGGACTTGGGAACATTTCAGTTGTATTGCTGTCTGTGCAGGGTCAGACAGCTCTCAGATTCCATCAAAAATATCTTAATTTGTGTTCCGAAGATGAACGAAGGTCTTACGGGTTTGAAACGACATGAGGGTCAGAAATTAATGACAGAATTTTAATTTTTGGGTGAACTAACCCGTTAAATATAAACAATGATGAACATGCTTTTATTCCCATATAAACATTGATCAGCACACATACATTCTGCACACCAAATATGGCAAATAATGCAATAAGCACAGAAAATGTCTTCATTTGTGTTTTAAAGAAGAACAAAATTATGGGTTTAGAATGATATGAGGGTAAAAAAAAAATGATGACCCATTAACAATCACTCACTTGTCTTCAGCTGCTTGTTGTTTGTCATTTCTCCGATCACAAATGCAGACATGGTTTTATGTTTACGCGGCGCAATGCAAAGCAACGCGTAAAAAGGCAGTATAAGTCATTATAATCCGTCCCCACTGGATGCAACAAATGCCTCATTTATAATTTTTTTTATTTTAATGTTTGTCTCATGGCTCCATCACAATATGGTGAGGGGCGTAACATTTCCGTCACACACTTGAGGAATTCAGCCAATCACAACGCACTGGATTAGCTGGCCAATCAGAGCACACCTCGCTTTTCAGACCGATGAGCTTTGTAAAAATCAACGCGTTTCAGAAAGGCGGGGCATAGAGGAGAAACAATAATGTACAGTCTGTGGAAAATAATGTGTTTTTTAACCTTAAACCACATAAACACATTTTATTACACCATATACACAAAATAATGTTCTTTTTTAGCAACATCATATGACCCCTTTAAATAAAAATTGCATGCGTAGTAATTGCACAAAAATTACACGATATAAAAGTATTGCATGTGTGGTTGGTTGTCATGTCAACCACCTAAATACACCAGTAAAAACAACAACATCATCATCATCATCATATCGGAAAACAAACCGTAATGCATTTCTAGTAACGTACAACTACAAAATTATTTTATTCACATAAAATGATGTAAAACAGGAATATAATGGTTTCGGACATAAATAATTTGCTCAAAGCACACACAGGCAAAGTCTATTGCACTAAAGAGTCAGCGTCTGCATTAAACACAGGTTTTCAACATAAGTTACTCATAGTATGAATTTTCTTCTGTTGCTGGATTAGCTTACCTTGATTAAATGATCATGGATTATTTGTTTTAATTCAGTTGCTTTTTCTGGTGGCAGGGACATGTTTTCGAGCGTGAAAATGCCACAAGAGTTTCAAATTAAAAAATCAAAGCATTTGAAGTCAGCGTCTGCATTAAACACAGGTTTTCAACATAAGTTACTCATAGTATGAATTTTCTTCTGTTGCTGGATGCGAGGTCAACGCCTCCTGCAACTGACGTTTTAAATCCTGGCGGAAAGGCAAGCGGGAGGCTGTCTTCACAGCGCCTGTGTATACTCGCAGTAGCGGTTTTAAAATACACTTAAAGCTGCAAAACAAAAACCTAACTACATTACGTTTAACGAACAATAGTCTTTATTAGCTTTAATACTTTGCTATTTCGGAGATTCTAGAAAATATTCAACTCTATGGTTTCAATCAGGCACAGCGTCTTCGTACTTAGGAAATTACGTCATGAAATTCAGCCCCTGGATCTTGTAGTTCTCGTTTATTATTATAAACACAAACTGTACTTTGTACTTACTCGCTTATACTGTGGAGTACCATACAGAAAAGTATCCATGAAAATATTCAGTGTTCCTCTCTCACTTTTTGGGAAAATGTCATTTAGGCCTGTTCTAAAGAGGATGAAAAATTACTTTTCTTAATTTAACATTTTTGCTAAAATTCCACATTCATAAATGCAATTTTATGGTTGCTTCCCCCCTCCCCCTCGTGTTATTTTTGAATTTACGACTGTTTATTAAATGTTCAATATTTACTTTTGAACGAAAGTGTATGTAGCTATAATGCTAATTCAATAATAAAAAGTTATCTTGTAGTCCTCCACAGTGCGTTTTTTAGTCATGCAAAGCTGTCCTTATTGAAAGTCCTCACTTAGCAACTTATTAGTTCTTTAAAACACAGCAGCTTTAACATTTGTTTAAGGGACAAATGTGCAATTTAAGTTGTAAAACAAAACGTGAACGCCTCAAGTAATATTAACCATAGACATGTTTCTCTTAAATCCAATCTGCAATTCTAAAATCATAAGAAATTCCCAAAGTAACCAAGGCTTGCAAATGTGCATTCTCACGATAGGCTAATATATGTACATGTAACCCAAACCTCTCTGAAAAAGAATTACATCATTCATCTTTGAAATATTTTAGCTACATTTTGCATTCACAAGTTAAGAATAACAAAACGTAAATAAATACATAAAAAACATTCTCGAGCTTCTGTAATGTAGCCTACATTGAAACCCTTTTAAAAATGAGAACACAAAATAAGAAACCAATAACCATTCTTAAGCTTTTCAAATTCATGGAACTGCCTAAACGTTAAAATGATGTTTATTCTGTATTGTTCTTTATCTCCCATTCTTTGAACTGTTAAATAATCCACTGTACTTTTTGTTCAGTATTTGACTCATTACTGAAATACTTATATATATATATATATTAGTGCTCTGCATTTATCCCATCCAAAGTGCACACACACACCGTGAACACACACCCGGAGCAGTGGGCAGCCATTTTTTTGCAGCAGCACCCGGGGAGCAGTTGGGGGTTCGGTGCCTTGCTCAAGGGCACCTCAGTCGTGGTATTGAAGGTGGGAGAGAGCACTGTACATTCACTCCCCCCCCACCTACAATCCCTGCCAGTACGAGACTCGAACCCGCAACTTTTGGGTTATGAGTCCGACTCTCTAACCATTAGGCCACGACTTCCCCAAAAGTGCCTTGCCATCATAATACACACAACTGCACCAGCCAAAGAAAAACTTTGGGCATATTAAATTATGCCCAAACCAGATATCACTTGGGACAGCTTTCTCATTTCTCATATCTTTAAAAAATCTTATTAGCTCTTAAAAGGTCATCCCTTAAACACAGCTTTTTCCCGTACTTGTGACAACAGACTGCTGAGAGGAAAAAGGATTGTTCTTTCCCGGTTGGTCACTTGGCTAGATGGAATGAAATTACCACTCCACCATTAGCCACTTCTGGAAATATTGGAGCAATTCCTGGAACCATGGCAGGAAGAGACATCTAATTTGACTCCCATTGATTCTGCTAAGTAATTGGCATTAAACCCACAATGAAATCCTACAGTGTGAGGTAACGGCGACTGGAAACAAACTATGATCCATGGAGACAAAAACTAAATCGCTAGGGTTAGTTTAGCATCAATTGTCTAAAAATTAAACATAACAGACCTGACACTGCACTGATGTAGCAATCTATAAAAATGCAATCTGTCACAATCGGCATTTATTTGCACTCATACATCAGTTTGAAATGAGAGATACCGTTTTATGGATGCAAATAAGCTTGAGAAACCAGAAAGTGCATATACACAGAAGATGCCAGAGACAAAAAAAAAAAAAACAATGCCAACAAAATCAGCAATACTTCTTCTTTAGTAAAGAGTTTACTATGTACATTTTTTAAAAGTGGAAACCGGACCACTTATTACATTTGGCTGAATCTACAGTCAGTTTATTACTAGAAGATCCTGAGATGTGCATGTACGGAAACTCACTGGGCTTTGACCTACTGAAACAAATGAGTCGCCCTATGAATATCCATGCGGGAATTTAGCAAACAGACGCATTTAATAAACGGACTCAGACGGACCCGGTGAGGGTCTATTTAACATTGCTCCGCATATAAACTCAGACAAAATACTGTACAGTGAAAGTTGTTAGGCCGTAAGAACTTACCATGATGGAATTACAATGTAACTACATCATTCATTACACTGTAATAACCACATATGACACAAACATTCAATAAATCATGAAGAACATCCGGGTAAGAATGCTTGTAAACACGATCATTCTACATTTTTTTTGTCCCTCATCTAGAAACATCCAAGCACCTACTAATATGAGTACCATAATTTGGGTCCCTGGGCAAATAAAAGACAAGAAGAGGAATCTGTGGGATAAAACGGCATTACTGGGACAGAAAGGCCCAGCACATGCACAGTCCCAGTGCTACAGCTGCACCAGCGCCGACATTCAGGAGAATTGGTTTCCAGAAAAGCCACTTCTCTTTTTTCTTCTCCGAATCGCTTAGTTTCAGCTTCATTTGCTGCACCTTCTGTGCCGTGCTGGCTATCCGTTCCTCACGGTTCCGCTTGCGAAGGCTGGAAGCAATAACAACACACATATGGTTGATTACTTCAGATTTTTAATAGGCAAAAAAATGGGAGCTGTTTTTCTGGTATTAGCATAATTTTTGGGTGAACTAACTCTTTAATGCATGTCCTTTTTCTAAATATATTTTCACGAAGTATTGGTTATAAAAAGTCATATTGTGAAATATTACTGCAATTTAACATGTAGCTGTTTTTTATTTTTATATATTACAAAAAAATAGTTGTGATGGAAAAGCTGAATTTTTCAGTATCACAATTTTAATATGCTTTATATAATATGTTTTACTATATAATCTATTATTTGGGTGGTCAATAAACATTTATTATTAACATTTATTATTATCAATGTTAAGAATTTGTGAAATTGTGTGAAATCCCTGATATTGTGTATGTGTGTGTGTGTGTATATATATATATATATATATATAAATAAATACTGTATATTTTTCCCCCAAGATTTTTTAATGAATATAATGTTCAAATGAACAGCATTTATTTAAAATTGATTTTTTTTGTGTGACATTAAAAAGTTTATACTGTCATTTTTGATCAACTTAATGAATCCTTGCGGAATAAAAGCGTTAATTATATATGTGACCCTGGACCACAAAACCAGTCATAAGGGTCCA